TTGTTTCTGTTCGATTCTACGCCTTACTATTCTATTGCCACCGGCTGGGGCTACACTGATTCTGTTTTTAAGTTCTTTACTAGCCAAAGTAAGGCGTAGGTGTAGTGTACAGGGTATGTGTAGGGGTTGGGGGTTCTCAGATCTAGACTAGTGGACCTACATAGCAATCATATCTGATGGTGAAGAACACTTGAACGACAAAAATTAGCCAATAATTTCAGAGCCCTGTTCTGGAGAGGGAGATCAAACCTACAGCTGAATGGAGAGTTTCTGAAAACCTCTCATCCGGGCCGTTCTCTTTTCGCAAAGGAGCAAGAAAGATGGATGAAAGTGTACCGTGAGTAAAGCTTCAGTCTCGATTCGCTTAAATATTACTGTAACTGAAGTGGACGTTTCATGGAGTAGCACATTTAGAAGCTGTCATATCATTATGCTAACATTTTTGATTGACATCATATGATAATCTGAGCCTCATTTGTTTACGGTAGTCCGCCTTGCACGACGCATAAACTGAGTTAAAAGGGAAGACTAGAGGTCGATCTTGTGGTACGAATGCATCATGTAGCAGTTGACTCGGAGAGGGAGAGCTCTCGAGTACACCCTTGAAAAGCCTAGAACTAAAGTTTTTTGAGGTTTGGCACCTGGTACATCACGGCGCGGCATGCCTAGGTTACTAGCATTGAATACAAAAAGGTGAGAGCAAATGTAAGCATGCTGATCAAGTTCAGCAGGTTAACTTAGTGAAGATAAACCTCAACAAATAAAGTGATATAAGATGGGTAAGCGAAGCGTACTTGAAAACCCAGAAGGATTGAAAAGCTTACCTCTATGACTGATGGCGCCCTCAATGGTAAGCGACGTCTGAAAGCCTACTCCTACAGTAATCGTGGGTTCAAAGAATGATGTCGTTTTACCTAGCGCAATGAGAAGTCCGGGTAAGCTACAGCTTACCCCATACATCCATTTTTTTCGTTCAACTCACACCGACAAATTTCGAGATCCCCCGAAAACCCTATACTTCCTAACATGAGGCACGTCTTTCCAATACCCTTTTCAACGCTCTTCCGTGGAGCGATTTCTTTTGCAATCCTACGCGAAGCGTCCACCTCCTGCACATTGCACCAGTAGAGCTGACATGGCCTAGGAACATATCACCAAAGAGAGTAATCGCTAAGAAAGAAAGAAGACTTAATTTGCTTCTTCAATATGGTGATCAATGCAGAATAGAAGGGAAGATGAAATTCTCCCTGTTCACTTCTTCAGGTATGAGTTCAAGCAGAACAAACATCAATTTTCTCTCAAATAAAAACTATCACATGCAGAAATAATTAGGTGGGGAATTAGCAGTGCTTCCATTATGAATGTCTCCAAGCTAACTTATAAAGTGAAGTGAAAAGATCATTTATGATACAGTAGCAGGTCGATAATTGGAATCATCCGTCGAGTTGCTTTGTCCATCCTTCAAAGAGTTCGACTGGATCGTCCTGTCCCTTCTCTTGAACTTGATTGCGAGTGTCAGCGATTAAGATAGAGCCGTCATTTCAGCACTTTGAGAGCAGGAATGGTTGGCACTCCGTACCTTGCTAAGTACTCCTGTGTTCTCTCATCACCGAAAGGTATTGCTAGCCAGCCACCATAGTGCTCCGTGATATATTCTCATCTTCACGATCTCGGGACACAAGGACTATTTCAAAATTTTTGCCAGCCTCCTTGAGCGCCTTGCAGAACCTAGTTGGCTTGTGGAGTGAACTGGCGACACGACGGACACCACATCGCCGAAAAATGCAAAGCGATCACCTTTCCATCTAGGGCTTCTTTCGCGTCGATTTCGTTCCCATCTAGTCCGAGAAGAGGCTTTCCAACGAACAGTTCCATCTCAAACTTGGGTAATTGAACCAGTTGTTCAGATAGCTGCTTTCGGATGTACTATGGGAGGAGGTGCAGTAAAAAACTCTCCGCCCAGAGGGAGTATCGTCGAAAAATGAATACGACCTCCCCTATTGGGGAATCCCCGATAGGGGGGGTCGTATTTGGGCTGAGAAAAATTTATTTTGATAGTTGATTTTTCTCGCTTCATGGACGTTGTAAAGGGGGGGTCGTATTTGATCATTTTTGGGAGGGGGGTCGTATTTACGTTTTGGCGTTGTGGGAGTGGCGGTTGACTTTTGGTGATTTTCCTGTTTCACGTACTATATGCCCCCCCGCTCGACAGCAAAATTTTTGGTAAAAAGTAGGGAAGTTTTCGGGAAA